TTATATTATTATATATTATCTATATAATATATAAAAATGGATACAAAAAATTCGAAATTGCACCAGTTGAGAACGGCTGGTCCGATTTTGCTCAAATTTTTTTTTAAGATGTTCGTAATTGCCAGGTGAAGGTTTTTACGAAAGAAAATTTTTAAAAAGTCAACCGAATAATTAGAAAAACTGCAAAAACTATTTATTGATGTCTGGGATTTGAACTCGATACCGTTGTCTTTATTTACTCTATGGTGTATTATATTATATTGGTTGCTATTGGTTAATCGGGCATGTTTGTTGATTTGTATTATTATTTTTGAAGTTATACTTCTTTACGCAGGGTAGTGAGGAAAAAAAAAGCGAACGGGCGGCCGTACGAACGCGAAAGCGTACATGTCCGTAAATAAATAAATATTGTCATGGTAATGTTGTTTTATTATATATTATAATATATATATATATTATATATTATAATCGGGCCATAATAATTAATATGAATAATTAATGATCGATTATTATTTATTTTTATTTTTATTATTATTATTCACTCAGAAATCTATTGTCTGGATAAAAACAATACTACAAACAATTATCCATCGATCTGTTGAATAAAAATATAAAAAAATAATAAAACTATCAATAATAAATAATTCCGGATACTTCTTCTCATTTTTTAAATTAATTAATATTTTTTTCTTTCTTTTTCACTCACTCACGTGTACCATTCAAAAGAAGTTTAACTTCCCGCTCGCGTACTGGTAACACACATGGTATTTGTAAATATATCTTATAAATAAATGAATGACGGTGTGTAGATTAGACCTATGGGAAGAAGATACGCTAATTTAAAAAGGGTTAAATTTGGTTTTTTTTATTCATCAGATTTTAGTACGGTTAGGTTAGGTTAGGATTTATAGGTAGGTGGAATTAAGTAAAAACGTCAAACTTGGTATAACTTTGGTACTTTTTGAGTTAAATCATAACACTTACGTACAAACAGCACGGGGTCCGCGATCTACCGCAGGTAAATTACCTATCTGATAATGTACTGCTGCAATTCAGAATTTTTATTCCGGGCAACAGAAAAGTTAAGATAAATCAGAACATCATACACCGAATATTAAATAACGCATTGAACAATGTTTGAGTCATATAGAGTTGGTACATTTAACGGGAAACGAAGTGCACGGGATCAGCTAGTAATATAATTATATTAAAATCGGGCCATACTAATTAATATGAATAATTAATGATCGATTATTATTTATTTATTATTATTATTATTATTATTATTCACTCACAAATCTATTGTCTGGATAAAAACAATACTACAAACAATTATCCATCGATCTGTCGAATAAAAATATAAAAAAAATAATAAAACTATCAATAATAAATAATTCCGGATACTTCTTCTCATTTTAGCTTCTGAGCGGAGCGATGAATGTATTGGTTTTACAATGATGTGTGTTTTTATATTTTAGATTCTGAGTGAAACGATGAATGTATTGATTTTACAATGATGTGTGTTTTTTTTTTATTTTTTTATTTTTTTTATTTTTGTGTCTGTCATCACGTTTTAGGACAGTAAAAGTGCTTGGATGTTCTTCATCGGTAGCTTTTCTGATAGGAGAGTGAATCTAGTTGGTACTTTAGGGGGGTCAAAAGTATAAATTTCTCAGTAGATTTCACAAGCGCCGGGAAAAACAACATAAAAATTAATGAAAAACGGGAATTTTTACGCAAAATTGGTTTTCCAAAAAATCGATTTTGGTTTTTAGTGTAACTCTAAAACAAATGAACGTATATACATGAAATTTTCACTGGTTGTTTATATTTGCATTTTCTATACACGATAAAATTTTCAAAATATTTTGATTTATTTTGAACTGTTTAGGGACATTTTCATTTTTTTTTATTTTTTTTTTCTAAAAATATCAATAAAATTTTATTTGTTGGTTGAAAAAGCTTGAAAATTTAATAAAAGGCTCCTAATATATTGTTTCAAAGGCAGATGAAAAATATTAAAAATCCTTAGTCACAATTTTTTTTTATAAGCATTTAAAGTTCAAAAATTGACAAAATATGGAAAAATCACGAAAATTAGCAAATTATTTTGAGTTAAGAATTCGTGAAAATGTTTTCTTTTTAAATCTAAGATTTGAAAATGAAACACAAGATTCCTTATAAGATTATCTACCTTTATCAATAAAAAAATCTCTACCGGACAGTCAAATTAAATTTTTATGAGCGTTTGAAATTCAAATTTTTACAACATTGGATATTCACTCGATTACTCATGTAGCGATTTCCTTATTTTGTTGCAATTCAAAAACGAACAACTGTAGATACATGAAAATTTCACTAAATGTTTAAATTAGCATTTTCTATACACCATACAATTTTGAAAATATTTTGACTCTTTTTGAGCTGTCTATGGACATTTACAGCTTTCAATTTTTTTTAGTTTTTTTTTCTATAAATATCAATAAAGTTTATCTGTTGGGCCAAAAAGTGTAAAAATTTAATACAAGGCTCCTCATATATTGTTACAATAGCAGTTGAAAAATATTAAAAATACATAGGCACAGTTTTTTTTTATAAGCATTTAAAGATCAAATTTTGACAAAATTTATCAAAATCTCGAAAATGATCAATCATTGTAATTAATAAATTATAAAATGTTCAGTTTTTATAGCTAAGGATTACAAATTCAACACAAAGGTTCTCATAAATAGTTCATACTATAACCAAAAAATCTAAAAAATATTGAACACACTTATTTTTTACGGACATTTTAAATTCAAATTTGGACGAAATTACATACCTAGAATAACTATTTTAGTTATTTTGTTGTGATTGAATAATATTATTCGTGGGTACTTGAAACTTCTAAAGTGTACTATTATATATCTATGATAGTATCACGGTTTTTGTTGATGTATAACGCGTTACCAGTACCTAATGGATATTGTGATATGATTAAATTGGAATTTATTATAGGTACCTATTATAGGTCAATTTTTTGTTTAATACCATAGATATGTATATAATGTGTCTTATACATAGACTGACATACCGTCTCCGCTCAGAATCTTTTTTCTTATACAATGATATTATATCGTTGAATTCAAATTTAATATCATCCATTATACAGTGACCCACTTGTAACCTACTGTACAGCAGAGCGACACCCACTTGACCACCTTTTTTTAAATTAATTAATATTTTTTCTTTCTTTTTCACTCACTCACGTGTACCATTCAAAAGAAGTTTAACTTCCCGCGCGCATACTGGTAACACACATATTTTTTGGTAACAGAATAACTATTTACGTGGAACCTTGTTTTAATTTTTCAATCCTTCGATATAAAAGTTGAACAGTTTATAAATTTTAAACTACAAAATAATTATTTAATTTTAAATTTGATAAATGTTGTCAAAATTCAATCTTTAAATGCTTATAAAAAAAAAATTGTGCCTATGTATTTTTAATATTTTTCAACTTATATTGTAACAATATATCAGGAGCCTTGTATTAATTTTTTACATTTTTTGGCCAAACAGATACAACTTTATTGATATTTATAGAATAAAAAAATAAAAAAATTTAAACCTGAAAATGTCCGTAAACAGCTCAAAAAGAGTCACAAAATTTTCAAAATTGTATGGTGTATAGGAAATGCTAATATAATTAATATTTAATGAAATTTTCATGTATCTACAGATATTTGTTTTTGAATTACAACGAAAGAATTAAATCGCTACATGAGAAATCGAGTGAATATCCAATGTTGTAAAAATTTGAATTTCAAACGCTCATAAAAATTTAATTTGAATTCCTTATAGACATTTTTTTTTTGATAAAGGTAGTTAATCTTAGAAGGAATCTTGTATTACATTTTAAAACCTTAGATTTAAAACGAACAATTTTTACGAATTCTTAACTCAAAATAATTTGCCAATTTTCGTGATTTTTCCATATTTTGTTAATTTTTGAACTTTAAATGCTTATAAATAAAAACTGTGACTAAGGATTTTTAATATTTTTAAAATGCCATCGTAGCAATATAGTGAAGCCTTGTATTAAATTTTCAAGCTTTTTTAACCAACAAATGAAATTTTATTGATATTTTTAGAAAACAAACTAAAAAAAAAATGGAAAATGAAAATGTGCTTAAACAGTTCAAAATAAATCAAAACATTTTTTAAATGTTATCGTGTATAGAAAATGCTAATATAAACATTCAGTTATTGTATATTCAATATCGTATTGCATTTTATCTACGATCCGCGGAATCGTATACTATATTATGTAATTACAGTAAAACCTCGATAAATCTAATCAGTTGGGGCGAAAAAAAATTTGAATTCCAAAAATTTCGAGTTATAGAAAATATTGTGTGTACTTATTGAAATGCAGGGGTGAAGATATTAATTCAAGTTATCGAATATTCGACTTATAGACGTCCGAGTTATCGATGTTTCACTGTATTATAATATGAGTTGAAATATTTATTTAAGGGTCATAAACAATCCCTATATGAATTCCAGCTGCTTGCCATTGTTATCATAGTACACCTATTGTATAAATTGCATAATATAAAATACACATAGTATACACTTTGAACTCAAATATTTTTTGTAATTACTTATTGATATTATTAATTGACAGATATATGAAAACAATATACGTTTTTCACCTGTAATAAATGTTTTTAACAGAAGGTTATAATAATAAATAAAATATACCTAAGACATATAATAATAATATATGAATACATTTATTTTAAATGTTTTTTTTTAATACATTTAGTGCAGAATAATAACATATTAATAAGTTAATATAAATTTACAGTCCCTCTAAATGGACAAAAGTTTGCTGCTCCGGGCAACAGGTTACTATTGACCCCCAAAATATATAACTACTTAAATTGTTTGAAGAATATAAACATTAACATAACTTCAACTTAAAATCACAAATATTTGGTACTCTGTGTGAACAACTATACACTAAGTAGTATTGCTACACCAGCTAAAATCCATTTGGATGGTTTTTGTCGCGTTTTTAAATTAAACGTCCAAACGTATGTTGGCCCTCTCAGTTTTATTTTGTAAACTGGGCACTCATAAATATTCCTCAAATCTTGTTTGTCTTTGATTATAGCTTTAACGTGTATCACCGGCATTATTGGAAACAAATCTTTTGGAGTGGATTCGACAATGCAACCTGTGGTTAAGTCCCAACGAGCACCTTCTAATATCAATCCATTTATCATGGCCCCTTCTCTGGGTGCTATCCTAAAAATTAAAAGACAATACATAAACGTAATTTATAGTTGTAGAATATTCAATATCAGTGCGTTCAATTACTAGTATTATTTGTTTGCTTACGTGATTTCTTCTTGGTATCTTTTCGTTACATCACATTGTAAGCACATCTTATCTAAAGGCCATCCCATTTTTCGAGCAGTGCACTGCATTATAGCAGTTAAAAATGATTGCGGATTGAAAAATCCACCTAACCATACCGACGATGGAAGCTAAGACAAAAATTAATCAAATATGTCTATAATATTAGTAATAATTTCTTATTTTTTAGTTGATAAGTGATAGTTTACCTGAAATTCGCTAACCCATGCTTCTAGTTCACGTAACCTCTTCAATAAATCTGCATACCAAGCTGCTAAAGGTAATAAAGAGGGATAAGCACGCTTTTCCCAGCTAGGCGGAACTTTGTCCATGAACAAACATTCTTCTAACGCCTCCATGTCTGCTGTTATTGTCAGTTCACCCTAATTTTTACGAAAAGTGTATTAATACATAAAATCAATAAATGCGATTAAAGAAAAGCACATCTAAATAAAAATACGGGAAAATATTTTGATTATAATAATGATATGTAAGCTCGAAAGTTTAAGGAGGTAAAAAAGGAAAAATATGCACAAAAAAATTTAATAAATATCCAAAATTTAAAAAAAAAACATTTGTTATTATTAATTTGCACTAAAAAAAAAAAGGAAATTTTGGAAATATGGAAAAATATATTTTTAATACTTAGAATATGGCGAAAATATTTTGCCATTTCGATGAAAAAAATATCTAAAAAATATATTCGAAAAGATAGTACATCGGAATATTATTATTAATGCGTGTTCGGGCAATTTTACATAGGTAAATATTAGGGCGATAGAAGTTAAATGTGCATCGCGCCATTATCATTAAATGAATACTTGACTGCGACAATAACAATAAAAATATCTACATTAAATAATATTGAGTTTTATATTCAATTTTATTATTTATATACATAGCTAAAGAAAGAAAATATCAAACATGCATAATATGCGTATGAAAAACAAGAACTATGCACTTTTCTCCTAAAATTGACAAAATTTTCATTTTACTTTTTTAATTATACCCTCTATTTTATAGTTCGGATTTCTAACTTGGTCCATTAGAAATCAAAAATATATAGAATAATATGCAACTCCTACAATTTTTGAGCATTAATAAAATGTTAAATGCTGCATTATTATTTGGTTCACTGTTTGATGTGTGCTTTATCACAAAAACAACTTCATCAATTTATCTAGAAACTCCATTAGGAAGGATTTAGATGATTCCTTGGATTCTAAAATATTTTTTATCTCTCATAGTGATTCAGGATTGTATAAAAAATACCCAAAATGTATCTAATGTAGAATTTATAGAAAGACATCGTTCTAAATATTGAATGATTTATTTGAATATACATTTCAATAGAACAATCTAGAGAGAATGCCTAAATTATTTTGGACACGTATAGTAGAGATTATGGATCATAGATCATCAAATCATCAAAGAAGAAAATCAAAATAATATAATAATAAATACTATAATACTATGATTGCTATCGTCTGTTCACTGTTTTATTAAATCAGTAAACATATATAATATATACCTTTAATCCCAAATGTAGTTCTTTTAATGACCTTCTAATTTCATTCATTAACCCATTCATACGCTCACATTCTTGGAATGAAACGATTACATATGGAGTTTGTTCTTCGACCTTACTCATCAGATCTATTAAATTAAACGGTTCTGGAACTTTATCAAGAATGTCGTCCAAAGTTTGTCTAACCTAGAAATAATTTTCATATCATTTATAACTATGTGTGCATAAAATTTGATTTTTTACATGAGTGAAGTTCAACTTACTTTTTCATCTCTTGACATGCCAGTTCCACCTGATGAACCCGAATCTCTGGGTTGCATTTCCAATAGAGTTTGGAATAAGTTTTCAGACCTTGTAGTGAGCGTGCCAATTTCAGCGTTTGAGTGAAGTCCGTACAGTACAGGACTTTCTGATGGCAATAAATCATCTATATATTCATGATATGACTTATAGTCTGTATTTGGTGGTGCCACAAAACCAGGTGCAAATAAAAGATCTCCTTCCATCTAAAATTTCAAATTACAACATTTTATTAAACCGTATTCCGTATATACAAATAAACATTTTTAATAGGTAGTACTAGATCTGGATTCATGTAGACTTCAAGATATGTCCGACATAACCTTCTATCCCAATCGTCGGTAATGTGTCCACCATACATGATCTCTCCAAAAAGATATCTAAGATCTTCCCAAGGAACTTTATTGTTAGCTTCCAGGTAGTTATATAATACGTTCACTGATATCGTTAAATCACCCACATTAAATGGATACGACCTATTCCATCCCTGAGCTCCAAACTTTGATCTCTCCTGTATAGATGCATGAAAATAACATAAACTAAAAAGAATCGCTTTGAATTCTGCTTCTTTAGAACACATCTCAAGTGTATCTTGATTGAAATTATCTAAGGCTTTATGTAAATTTGCCATCATTCCTGTTGGTGGTTCGTTAGTAATTTTTATTGAAGAATCTAAAACACCCTAAAAAAGCAAACAAAAATGTTAAATTTAAAAATAAATATTATTTAATTTATAACAAAAATACTTGAGGAATAATATGATAGAGTGGGTCAGCGGCGGGTTCAGCACTAATAAATATTCTATAATTGACATGTGGATGTTCAAAAGATGCTTCCATTTTTTTATCCAAAGAAGGCAGCCACTTTTGTACTAGATGTACATTCTTTCAAAAAGAAATAGTGATATCAGGTTGTAGTGAGTTAATGAAAAACTATAATTTCATATTTACTTGTAACATAACCCAATTACCCAACCGAGAACTTAACTCTATAGCATCTTCTGCCACTTGCTCTTGTCCTTGCCCTAAAGATATATTATGGAAGTTCTTCTTTTCAATTGTAAATCCTTTTTTTTTACCAACAGCTTCAACATCCTATAACATAATATACTTGTAGTAAACAATTCACTTGTGTATTTGCATAGGCTTAAAACATTGCATAGTGTAATATTATTAATAGCCGTGCAAAATTGAACTTAGTTCAACCCAATTGAACATTTTCCAAATTAACAGATATAGACGATAATGTAATATTTACACGTGTTGGATCAACTCCTGCTGATAATATAAAAAATACAGGTGTTTTACAAGTAGTTTCTTTAAATGAATCAATGAACTCCGGAGGTCTAAAATTGGTATATTTGAGACCAAGAACTTCTTGGACGTATACTTTAGTAGCATAAGTCATTCGATCAGTTCTTAAAGCTCTTATTATACAAAGTCTCTGGAATGGAGTTTTGTTTTTCCATTCTTGTGGTAATTTATCTTTCTCTGGAGCTTCACCATCAAAGTATAACTGCCATCGTTTACCGGAAGTTTCAATATCCTTGTCTAGACCACTTTAATAATGAATATATTTTTTAAATACATTTTCTTTAACTATGGTAAATTCGCATAAAATAAGTTAATTATTTATTAAAAGTGCAAATTTTATCTTACGCATATTCATCATCAGCTAAAACAAGTGATCGTATAGCTCCCCATACATTTGATGAAATAAAATCAAATGGACTAGATAATCCAGTAATTGCTGGCCTTCTCAACAAATATTCTAACTCTATCAGTTTTATTTTATTTGCTTGAAGTTGTACCTACAGTATAATACATTTTCTTATAACATTCTTACGACTAGTCAATAATCATAAAAAAAATTGTTCAAAATAAAATTCATGTAATAAGTGTTAACAATAGTATTAAAATTAAATAAATTGTCATCATAATATATTTGTATATGTACCTGAATGGTCACTTGACAGATGAATATTAATTTATCCTTTTCAAATAATCCTCTACTAGTATAAATAAATGTTTGATAAGTTATATTATCCACCAAATTGACTATTCGCTTATTTAATGTGTCTGCTTTTTCTGCATCTCTCATAGCTCGTTGAAAGACAACACTAAAAGCCTTTTAAAATAAAAATGAGAATAATAATCAATAAATTATAGTGGATCCATGTGTGAAGTTTAAAAATAATTCGATAAACAATAAAAAAAATGCATTTATTTATTGTTTAAGAATATTGAAATAAAATAAAAATGCACTGTAAATTAATATATACAAATGGCACGAATCATCTTTAAAAATGATAAGTCTGTCTTAAATTTAATAGTTTACCTCTAGAGAGAACTGATACATTGGATTTATTTTTATTAAATCATTCATTATAAAATAAACTATTGATGCTCGTGTTGCAGCAATGCGATATTCTTCACGGGCAGAGTCAATTTCTTTTGATGTTATTTTTGCTTCGGCCACTTTTACTTCAATTTCCGTAGCCGTTTTTTTAGACTTTTCAAGGTTCAAAACAAGTTCTTTGTCACCAAGTATCTGATCACCATCAGCTGAAGACAGTCTCTGTAATAAATCATCTTCAAGTTGTTTCAATGTTATTTTAAAACTATTTTGTTGTTTGGTCAGATCAATTCTCATTTTTTCTAAATCCGGTCTTTCAACTTTCACAACTTCCGCTAATAATTGATCTTCAAGTTGATCACGGTTCACAGTAAAGTTGATGAGTGTTGTCTGTGCTTGCATTTCCGGTTTGTAATGTGGATTTGACAATTTTGTGTGCAATATAAGATGGAAATTCGGATTGTAATCAATCTCTTTTTCAGCAATTTTTACAGCACTAAAATTTAACATGAATAGAATTTAAACATAGATATTATTTAGCAAAGACAATTTTTTACCTTCCTTTTTTTATCAAGTTTCGACCAATAATGTTATCCAAAACAGGGTCTATGTTTTCACCTATATTTTCAATCAATAGTACGTTCCCATCTCTTACACAAATTTCTATATCTGATAAATAATTTTTATAGTTCAATCTAGTAATTCTTAAGCTTCTTCCATATTTAGTTTTAATCCATTTAATTCCTTGAAGCTATTCAACAAAATAAACATAATTATGCAATACTTATCAAATATCGTTCAAAAATAAAAATATTACGTACCTGAGGATCAACCATCAATGGCCATCTAACAGAATTAGTTAAAATTGTTGCATTTTCAGATGACATCCTATCATTTGGTAGACCTTCATTATTCCAAGCTGCAATTTGTGCATCATCAGTGAGCAAAGCTAGAGGATCTAAATTATCTGTTATTGGAATCTCGGGCTGAAAAATTATTATTTTAATTTGAATACGAAAGAGCTCAAAGTAAAATAAAATACACATTTGGATTTTGATTCAATTTGTTTAAGCATACAATAAATGTACCTTAACTTCTTTGAAAAATGGTAGCCATGCATTTTGAATTAGTTCTTGACGATATGTTTTTGTAAAATAACCTACATATGACACAAAAGCAGAAACCATAAGGGTATCTCCGGGTAAAGTTTGCAAGCTTTTTTGCAATCTAAAATATAAAATAAAACTGTGTATAGTTCTACCATTCTAATGAATACCTATAATGCTAAAATAATTTACGTTGAAACACTTTCTTTCCAACGGACATTTTCCGATGCTAAACCATTGACGAGTCGGTTTGCCAAATCGATCCTCATAGATGTTTCATCTGCTTGATTTTGACAATTTGTTTTTTCAGCTACGGCGCCGTCAAACTCGTCTGTTAAAATTTTTTGTTTCCTTTCCAATTCCTAAAATTATAGATTATATAAAATATTAAGTAATTAATTATTCAATTACACTTTACAATAATCATATTTCTAAGCTCCATAAGTTTATTCCTAGCAGCGCTCAGCTCTTCATTTGCTTGATCCCGAGCTTTTCTTTTTGGCTCCACAACTTGCCAAACGTCATTAAACTTCATTATATTTATGACCCATTTACATAAACCTTGAATATGGAAGTTCATGGTTACAAATTATAATAAATTTAAATGTACTATTATTAAAAATATATGTAAAAACTAAAAAATAACTTCAAAATTGAGTATATCCTACATTATAATTTATATTTATGTAGGTATAGTTAAAGATATGTATTATTCAATAATAATGCTAATCACATCTCTAGATAAATTATATTTCTGATATTAATTATACTTGATTTTACCAACCAGCAGCAGCTGAAGACTTTGCAGCAATTAGATCTGGGTCAAATTCTGGATCTTTTAGATAAGGCTGTATTGCCTTAACTACATCTGGGTGTATATGTTCTTTATCGTAGTTAATAAGCGAATCTAAAAATCCATCAACTTTTGCCATCATTACCTAGGTAAATACACAAATACATTATTTTCTATGTTTAACAGATAATATCAATACTCGGTAATTTGCTATCTATGACGTAAAATAAATCCTTATTAAAAATATATTGTTTGTTACCAAATATATCTATTAAGTACTAAAGTAGGCATAATGTATATTTTATATATATAATATAAATAGATGGTAATTTGTAAAAAGATATACAATCTATTATTGTATAGATGTTTATAGTAAATTAACTATTGTATAATATATAACTAATTTTAATTTATAAACTTAAAATGCATTGTTTTAATTTTGCATATGCATATAATAATTAAAACAGGATTTTCATTTAAAAAGTAATACTACTAGTACGTAACTGAATGAATTAAAAGTATAAGTATACATTATAATTTATAATTTTAATTAATATAAATTATACAATTTTAATAATATTAAATTAATAGAAATTAATAGATACCTTGCAAGCTTTCCAGCTCCTATCCTTTGGAACTTTCCCTTTTTTAGCTTGTAATACCATAACTCCCGATAATACGTTTATTACAGCTAACGGAGGTGATCCAAATGATTTCAGTTCTGTTAAATTATTCTAAAACGTTAAATAAAAAAAAGTTAAGTGTTTGACATAACTACCACATAATATAATACAAATGTAACATAATTTATTATATACTTTATATTTTGTAAATATTTACATTCAGTTGTTACTATTTTATTCAATAACACAACATAATCTATATACACAAAATTTACTAGAATTAAAAATTATAAAAAAATATATTTAGATCACATATTAATATAATTGTTTCTTAAAAAGTTCTTTAAGCATTATTTGCTTCTTTTAAACTATTAAAATTTATAATTGTAAACATTTTATATTAATTAATTTATTGACTGTTATAAATTCATTTAAATTTTTTGAAGGTTATCAACATAGTGCGTTTACTTTATTTAATGTATCTAGAGCACTTTGTGCTGCTACCAACGCTGGTTCTGCTTTTTCTAAATCTTCGGCACACAATCGTTGTTTCAAACCAACATCTTCTTCAATCAATTTAACTTTGTCTTCTTCTTCAGCAGCTGTAAAAAATGAATTGTTAATATCAAACTAGTGATTATATTTTAAAATAATATGATAATACCTTTATATTTTTCATACTTCACTTTCTCTGTTTCTTTTTGGACCACTTTGATTAGCTCTTCAGCTTTACTATTTTTCTTGGTTAATTCAATCTCTTGTACATCTAATTCAACTTTTAAAATATCGACCTTATGTTTATAAAAAAATAACTCAAGTGAATAAACTGTTAACGGCGAACGTTATTGTTAAATATTTATAAATAACTTATTATATTTTTACTTACTTGAGCTGCGCATGATAAAAGTTGTTTAATACCATTTTGGAATCTGTAGATCCCGTACTTAATATCATTGGTTTTTGACACTAATAGTTTCATGTAGAGATTAATTTGTTCCAAAAATGATTTTGGCGTTGTATAATTGTAACGACGATCATTTGTTAAATACCTAAGTGACATATCATTTACTGAACTATGTACATGGGACATAAACAAAGATACAGGTCTCCTTAGTTTGACTGGAAGTTCGATCAAATCGCCTAAAAACCTAAACGATACGGATTCCAATGCCTCTTTAGGCCATTCATAAAACCAGTTGATAGAAGTGCACGTGACTAGAGCTGGAAATCGTCTGGATCGAATTCTTAATGTATTACCGACAGGTGAAAAGCATAATACAATCTTGATTAATGATCTCACTTTGTTGATGAAAAAATTCCAACAGTTCTCTTTAGTTTCGAGTAAACCAGTTGCTTTAACCTAGAATTATAGATTGTAATTTAACATTATTGATAACCTAATCTAACTATGATAAAACCTCTGGGGCGATGGTTTGAATTATATTGTCGATTTCATCATCGGCAAACAGCTCTGGAATCTCGCCACTGGCCAGCATGTCATTAATGAGCACAAGGAACTTCTCATCGGCCACTTGAGAGTCAGTCATCAGGAACATGATCCCAATATTTTTTAATCCAGCCTTTATGTATAAGGTGGCTAGGTCGGCTTTCAAATCGGCAATACCATATGTAGACCTCAACTGTATTTGAAACGGTTCTAGCGAAGATATAAACGCTGATAGGCGAGCTAAGGACTGTTTACCGCTGCCACCCACGCCAACGAGCAACGCATTACCTCTGGGAAGTTCAAGTATACGATTTATCCGGCAAACGTGTGACATCGCGTCTTCAAATAGCACTAAATTAATAGCCCCCAGAAATTCATTGTACGACTTCATTGCATCGTTTAGTAGTTTTTGCAGTATGGGCCACGACCGCACGGGCATATACTTTTGATCACCAATACCGTCCGCGAAATGTGAATATATCAATGGGCTTATCAAGTATTCATTTTCTGGAATATCCTGTATACAGAAGTTTAAGACTTAAGATAATAGTAGTGGAAAGAATTTATAAACACTTTTTGAATATAAAAAAAATAATAGTACATTAGAATAATTTCTTCTAAGGTATACCAATATGGTATTCATTTAATTATGTTAAAAATCAGAATATAAGTTTGTACAAAATAACAAAAAGATACATTTTGAAATGTTTAATTAAATTTATTTTTAAATGTTTGTTATAATATAATAATATAAATAAAATAATTTAATTTAAAAATTATAGGTAATAATTTAACGTGTGCATGCATGATTTAAAGGAAAAACAGCTGGTCCTCCTAAATTAAAAATTAAAACCACAATAAATCCCACAATCCCTCTCTGATCATGAATCTATATATATATAAATGAATGCATGTCTGTCTGTCTGTCTCTGTCTTATCTGTCTGTGTGTCTATATTGCCATGGTAACCAACCCCAAGAGGAGAGATATAGAATGTTTTTCTGCCTGTTTGTGTGTCCTTTGGTTTCCATGGTTACCATGGGTTTTGAAGCTATTATAATAATAATTATTGGTTGCCGGGCAATGAAATTTACGGCATCATTTAGTACAGAGATAGATCGGACTTCTGGACAGAAGATAGGCTAATTTAAAAAGGGAGAGGACCAGCCCCGGGAAGTGCTCAAACAGAGATTTTGAGATTGACAATGGAAATTTTCGTTTATAAATGGTTTCCATGGGTTTTGAAGCTATTATAATAATAATGATTGGTTGACATTGGTTTAAAATGTCTGTTACGGTAACAGTTATATTATAAAATAAAACATATTATTTGTATAGAGTTGTCAACGAAGTGCACGGGATCAGCTAGTATTATATAAAATGTATTGTTTTTTAATATTTCCCTTAAAAGTAAATTATGAGTTTTCAAATAATACCTAGGTTAGTTTTTATACTTGAATTCTGTACTTGTTATATATTTCCCAAAATAATAGAGAGGGTTAAATACTATTAGGTTAAATACCGAATAAAATATAATAATCTTACCTCAATTACTAAGTTCTGCATGAAAATGTTTTTAAATTGTAACAATTAAGCACTGAAATATAAGACGAATAAATGATATAAAATACTCATTACTCACACTAAAAGTTTTCTTTATTTGTTCAGTAATTGTTTTTGAAAAGGTTTCTTGATCTTTTTTTTCGATTAATTTGTCGCTATAAATTCGACTAGTCTCGTGAAGCCAGAGGCGAATAAAAGAACTGGTTGTTGAGACACATTCGCCATTGGTGAACATGATTCCCTTTTTAACAAAATAATATTATTATTAATATTTTAAATTCCTTCTTTTTTTAGTTAGGTACAGAATACGATTTTACTTGAAAAACATTGCTCATGTCTCTAAGATTGAATATATAATGAAACTTAATGGCTGTTGGCAGAAATACTGAAATAATTTTCTCATGAAAATTGATCGCCAACTGCACAATTAAATCTACTAATTTTAACACAGTACCGTTGAATTTATTTACTGGGTTTTTTAAATGTTGTGTCAAAATCGAAGAGTAAATTGTGTATAATGCATCACGCGAAGGAAATCTAAAGTATATAATATTATCATTACAAAATGAAAAAAAATAATATGTATAGGTAAATCAAGAATTGTAAGCAATAAATACTTACCCCAGAGCAAATACATAAAAATGTCTCTGCAGTCGAGAATCAATAGTAAAACTTCCAGCAGTTGGATTCATGCTCGAAGCAAACATAACGTTTTGAATATCTTTTAGACATAACTTCGTCCTGTCATACCAATGATTGTAATCCATAAATTGTCTGATGAGCGTATGAGGTTGCACGGTTCCATAAGGATCGACCTTTGATTAAATTTAAAAATATATACATCAAAAAATTCAATCAAATAAGAAAACTATTTTTATCCATATTATTTTTAAAAATTACAACTAGTATGTTAGATTAATATACCATTAAATAAGTTCACGTTTATTTGTTAACTTATATTATACGAGTCATTGTAATAATCAACATTTATCTTTATTACAATACCAATATATTCAAACAATATTAGTTTAAAATAAATACTATATATTAAATATTAACTTACTTCTGGCATGTTTATATCATCAATAAAATAAATTAGTGTTTTACCACCCGGTGGGCCAAAATTTCTTCCTGCTTTTTTCTCTAGTGGTTTTT